TGGTCTCTTTTTAAAGAAGACAATTAGCATATTATTATAGAAGTGAACTCATTTAATAAAATGAAAGTATTAAAAAGTTATAGAAGTTTAAATTTACTGTAAAGAAAATTACTTTATTTTATATAAAATAAATAGATAAAAACACAAAATTGCTATAAAATTAAAGCCATATGTCTCCATAAGTTGTGTTCCAAATTTGAAGTTGATATTGAAAAAAATGAGGTTCATATGCAATTTTGTTTAGGCGTTATACCAAAAACAGCCACCGGGTGCCACCCAAACTCCATTGAATTTTTTTTTTTATGCATTTCTGTCACAAATCTATCAATTTCTCTCTCAATATTACGTCTATCACAAAATAACCAAAATAATTGCCAAGATTATAAAAAGTTTTGATTCTAAAAGACTGTAATACATTTTGTAATATGACACCCCCGCTAAGGGGGAGGAGACCACTAAAATATTTTGAAATACCATTTCTATGGTAACGCAATGTCCGATTTCAAAATGGTTTTCACAGGATAAATTTTGAGATTTTAAGCTTTCAAATGGTATATAACTTATGATGATTACTAAAACACGAGATAGGGAAAAAGGCAATGAAATAAAGACTTTTTGTGACAAAGGTCAGAACTCATGTTATGATGTAGATTTGTCATAGACTCTTGGTGCAGTCTTGTCATAAATTAATCTATTACTGTTCCTACATAATTTGTAACAAAATAAAATGGTAAAATATCTATTTAGGAGTCTTAGACCTTTCCAATGATATATAGTTTGTCATGATTATATTAGGATTTAATTGTACGGTGACAGTTAAGGGGTTAAATTGTTTTATCAGCATAACCAAAAAGTCAAAAATTGTTGAATTGCAAACATTAATTCACATGAATGTCAGAATTTCCTGATATTCAGTTTGTTTTAAAGGAAGAAGCACTCCAGTTGCATGAACTCCATATTTTAAAAACATGATGATTGTGTGTTTTACCTCCTCCTAGTGGAGAATCAAATGTTTACTTGCATTCCATGATTACAATACTAACACTGTCCACACGGGGGCTAGAGTAAAGGATTTTCCTTAATAAAGTGGTGGAACTATGATGTCACTTTGTAGGCAAAAACCCGGAAGCAAGTTAGCATTTTAGCACTTCCGGTTCCATCTTCCCAGTCAATGTTTTTTTTAATGGGATTTTGGTTAAATCCCTAAAATAAGGTCCGTGGTTCACACAGGCTCAAGATACTTTCACGTTTTATTCTATGACATAAAACACACCAGTTACACCCCACTCCTGATTTTTTTAAACTGTTATGTTTCTTTAAAAAGATGGTTGCTAACAAGTTGCTAAATGGGACTACAGGCGCTGTCGGAGATATTAAACGTCATCACGCCGAACAGTTTATCAATTTACAGTATTTTCCAGTCGTAGTATAATTTGTAATACAATTAATTGTAGAATAACCAATTAATAGTTTCCCGCACTTTATATTGTTGTTCATCAATGTTTTTTTTGTTTTTTTTTGCCCCCGAAATGCAACACAAGTCTTTGGATGGAAGATGCGTCCGTGGTTAACACAAGCTCAAAATACTTTCAAGTTTTATTCTACGACATAAAACACCAGTTACAACCCACTCGTGATTTTTTAAACTGTTACGTTTCTTGAAAAAAGATGGTTGCTAACGAATTGCTAAATGGGACATTAAATGTCTTCACGCCGAACGGTTGATCAGTTTATAGTAGAATAATTAGTACAGTTAATTGTAGAATAATTCATAGTTTCCCACATTTTATATTGTTGTTCGACAATGTTTTTTGCTTTGCCCCGAAATACAACCACAGGTCTTCGGATGGAAGATGCTCGTTTCATTGCTTGTTTACTACTACTGATGCGGAGACTCTGGGTTCGTACCATAAGGTAAACTCATATTACGATTATTCCATGTAAACACCACATTTACCAGCTTAGTCACGGTGAAAGTGAAACTTTAACGATGCATAGTGCTTAAAGCCACGTTAAATTTAAATGTTTACGGCCACATGAAGCTGTTAGAAAGCATATGAGGATTTCCTAGAAGCAATGGTAAAATAACATTTTGTGTACCCACCCTAATAAAGCTGAAATGTGGTACTTTATTCACTCAAATAAGTTTATTCTTACCATATCCAAAAACTCGCTCACTCTGCTATTAATAGATTAAATGCACTAGAATTTTATTGAATAGTAAGTGGAGACACGTTTTTAATTCAAATATTCATATTAATCAAGGATTTATTGACTTTTATTGCACCTTAAACGATAGCTGAAATGTGGTACTTTATTCACTAAAAAAAGTTTAATCTTACCATATGAAAAAACTCGCTCACTCTGCTGTTATTTAATAGATTAAATGCACTACAATTTTATTGAAAAGTACGTGGAGACACGCTTTTTTATTAAAATATTCATATTAATCAAGGATTTATTGACTTTTAATGCACCTTATTTCAAAATGTACAGAAATACGTGCTTTCATATGTCCTTTAGTTATGATTATTTCATTTATTCACTAGGCTATACTACTTATTATTAATGTCTCGAACGTGTAAGTTTCATGAACTATGGTTGAACACAGAGCTTATTATTTTTTGCGATAATCCAAAAGCCTATGGAAAAATCCTATAGGCTTTTTGTCGAGGGAAGCAGTGTCACGCTAACAGCCGGTCCGCCTGCAGAGTGACGTCATAGCTCCCCCACTCTATTTCACAATATATGAACACAAGCCAAAGAGAGCAATGAACTCAAGATAGCCACATAGCGCACTGATGACGTACTTTTATTGTGTAAATTGTGATAAGTCTTTGGTTTAGCTGTCATGTGGAGGCTTTAACTGTCATTTTGATTCCTATGGGTGGGGATGTGTAACAATAAAAGTATTTATGTAAGGGGATGAGAGAATTCCTTCCTTGTTCTATTAGAGATATGCACTGAATTTACACATTTATATAATATATGTGACCCTGGACCACAAAACCAGTAATAAGGGTCTATTTTTTTAAATTGAGATTTATACATCATCTGAAAGCTGCTTTCCATTGATGTATGGTTTGTTAGAATAGGACAATATTTGGCCGAGATACAATAATTTGAAAATCTGGAATCTGAGGCTGCAAAAAAATCAAAATACTGAGAAAATCGCCTTTAAAGTTGTCTAAATTAAGTTCTTAGAAATGCATATTACTAATCAAAAATTAAGTTTTGATATATTTACGGTAGGAAATTTACAAAATATCTTCATGGAATATGATCTTTACTTAATATCCTGATTTTTGGCATAAAAGAAAAATCGATCATTTTGACCCATACAATGTATTGTTGGCTATTGCTACAAATATCCCCATGCGACTTATGACTGGTTTTGTGGTCCAGGGTCACACATTAAGTTACACTCTCAGAAAAACCTTTTCAAATATACTTTTGTACCTTTTATGTACTAGTAAGGTATCAGTATATAGACCCTTTACAAAAGGTGTACCTTTTGAAAAGGTACCGCTCCAGTGACAACATTTGTACCTTTTTTCTGAGAGTGTAGAAAACACTGAAGGGGCACTAATTACCACATAAAATAACATTCTCTGACTTTATATGAAGGCTGGTCAAGTCCTTGTGAAAAAAGTGCACTTAACTGTATTGAATGTGCACTTGTAGTGTACCTCAAAAATATTTGCAGATAATATTAATGAAATAAATGGCCATTTAAGTGTACTTAAAGATACACTTCCATTACTGTTTCTTAACACGCAAGTATACACTTTAAAATGGGCAGTGTGTAATAATTGTCAAATTAAAATTTAAAGTACATTTCAAATCATTGTTTTGCTGTTTTGCCACTTTTGATGTTTTAAAAAAAAAGTACATTTGTTTTGAAGTGTAGGCTACACTTGTTTGATTACCATATTAACTGTAATGTGTAATTTTATATTATTACATTTAATATATTTTAAATGTACTACATTGCAGCTTCATCATTACAAATGTGTAGTTACAAATATATTTAAATATGACACGTTTCAATAGAAATGACATTAAAGTATTTTAGTTTACATAAATGTGTGTCAGTACATTTTAACCATTTTTCAAAGACAAGGATTGAAGTAATTATGAAATTACAAATAAAGATGACCTTAAGTCCTATTTTCTAAGACTATTTTTTTTTTTTTTTACTTTATTTGAACATGCAGTAGATAAAATGTTACATTGTAAGTCACCCAACCAATTTTTTTTTAATCCAGCCATCATTTTAATGTTATTATTTTAATATTTATACAGACAAAAAGTGCATAATTTTGCTAATTTGTTTTTGGTTTTCGATATAAAACTTGGGGAAATGATACCATTTAATCTCGACAGGTGACAGAAATGGAGAAAAAACCTTGGGAAATCAGGCTGAATCTGGTGACCAGATCTCCTCAGGCCTAAGCGAACGAACACAATGTGATATTGATTGGGGTGGGAAAGAAAGAGTTGTAGTTTATCCAGCAGGTTGAAAGTTGAAGGTAGAGCTGCCATTTGCAGTTTAGCCAGTAGTAGGAGTCACCACCAATCTGCTGTGTTTAATCCTACCATAACTTCATATGATTGATTTTCTCTCCAAATTATTTCAACATGCAGGCTTAATTATTATTTACTGTAATTGCTGTGAATGTACCTTTGTATAGGAATTCCCTTTTTGTATAGAAAATCTTGTGGTTTTGCATATACATAAAAACAGTGAAACTTTTATTGATGTAGTTATGCCACATTTTGTTTTACAAGCTGCAGTGTCGTGATCAAATGAACAGTTTAGATTTACATAGACAACATTTAGCAATATCACTCTATAATACTTTACCGTTTGCCCTATGACGAGGAAGTGCTATTCACTAAAACACTCTGCCTGAACTGTATAAGCATATTGTGCAAGTTCTACAATGAATATATTTCACTGACCGGCAGGGTTGTGTTGACACTCATTTGGGTGTGTCTGCAGTATATCTAGGACTGACACATTTCTCCAAACTAATTTGGAACAGAGAAGGACCTGAAGACGAGACGAGATTTGTGAGATTTCACTACTTTTATCATCACTGCATTTTCACTGCTAATAAGGTAAGTAAAAATAATGCTGTGTGAATGAATTAATAAATATTATTTTCCAATATAACATGTAGATATTACATATAAAGATTAAGAAACATATTGCACTCATGCCTTTTATCGCTGGAACATATGTTATTCTAAAATATATTAATGTGTCATGTTTTTACTCGTTATTTATAGGCCAACTGTATTTTAAATCATTAAATCACTTAATAAATAGCCTAATAGAATGTAACTTTTATAAACTGTTACAAATCTCTTCTGAGTAGTCATTTATTAGCCCACCTGTTATTGCAGACTAACAGTGTGTAACGGTAGTTGAGCAGCTGCCTTACTCTTTCTGCCTGGGTTCTTGAGTGAGAGACAGATTACGTAATTACATATTCCCCAAAATGACCTCAACAAGTTGCACGTTTTAAGGAAGTGATAACTTCCGGAAAGACTTTTGTGGGAAATCCATTATGATGAAAGATCTTGCTGTCATTGTGACGTTTTCGCGGTTGCTTTGTGTATCCAGTGCATAAATAAATAAATGTGAAGCTGACGTGAGTAATGAAGACTTGTTCTTTTTTCTTTATTTCTTTCTGTTTAAGTGTTTAATGACAACATTTTTGTTAGGTTTATGCTTAAAATAATAAACGGTGTAAGAAAAGTTATTTCTAAATTAACACCATATTTTATTTTGTAACTTAAAAGAGCACGAAACAGAGCAGAGTACTCGATGTCAACAATACGTGTGGAATGTTTTAATGGAAATTCAGTATCAATATAATAATAAACTTTCATCTTAATCTATTTTTAAAACTTTTCACAGTTGAACATAATGGTTCAAAAGACGATGGTCTTTCTCTTCATGCTGATTGGATGGTCACAGACTTTTCCGTACCACAATGTCCCCACTGAGGATAAAGTAATGAAAGATGCTGACAAGATAGAAAGAGAAAGAAGAGATGTTATGCAGAGTGTAAGTGCCTTATATATATATGTGTGTGTGTGTACTTCTGATTCCCTACAGTATATTATGTAGTTTTTCTGCTTCAAGTTAAACACATAAAGTTACTGTGACATTTAACTGAAAGAAATGACATTTATATTTTCTCTTTAGGGTACTGATTTTACTCCACCAGTGTGCCGTGTGGTAAATGAGAGTTTGGACTGTTCTTCATCAGGTGGAAATGAAACCTGGGAAGTGAATTATATCATGTCAGATGGTGCTGGTTCAGGAATTGATTCCCCCCTTTTTTCTGCTGCCATTGACTGTTGTGAAGGCAACATTACCTTTTTTAATATTTTAAATGTGACTGTAGATGAAAATGGCTACAATGCAACCACTGTGAAATATACTGGTCCTTGCTGTTTCCATAATGTGGAGATTTCTGTGGTGGACAAGGCAGGAAACAAGGCAAAGTGCCCTTTTAATATCAAACACCCTGTGACACCGTGCAAACACCCTTTGACCACAATCAGCCCAATGACGGTCAGTCCCACGTCCAGCAGCTTCACCACAACCATCTCTCTTTGGTCAAGTTTAATACTGATGGCACTTAAATCTATGTTGCTTTAACATAGATGTGCACTTTCTGTAAATATGCACTTTATGGAAGTATTTTTTTTATTCTTTTTCTCATTTATTTTTCTCGTGTCGTTTCTATAATTATGTATCTGGAGCATTAGAAAATACAGTCAAACTTATGAAAGTAGTATGTATTACATGGTCTATCTTTCATTGTACTGTATAAAGTGCTAAATAACCTTTAAAAAACATTTGTTTTAATTTAAGCTCATGTACAGTACTGATCTCAGATTCATGCTCTTTATTTCAAGCAGTTCTATTACAGTGCTCACTGTGGGGGAATTGATTTAAAAGACCACCCTGACTTGTGTGTAAGAGAGGCATTTAAGCCTACTATTTATTTTCCAGACAAGTTTGCATATACATATACTGCAAGATATACATCATTTTTAAAAATGAAGAGGAATCATAAACAAGCCCTTATTAACACCCTGTCTATGGACATAAACAGTGTGACATTACAGTAAATAGATGCACCATTCTCTTTCTGATGTACTTCACACCCTTGTGTGTCTTTCTGATGTACTTCACAAGCTTGTGTTACTTCTGTCATAAAGGACAACTGGACATTTTCATTGACGTGTTTAAAGAGCTTCGTCCTTATTACAAATTCATATACATTTCTCTGAAATTCAGCTCATCAGGTCTAAAATGTTCAAAAACAATTAAAACGAAATACTTCTATTAATATGAAGGACTGAGGGACAGACAATAAACCTTCCTCAGGAGAAATTTCTTAACATTTAAGGCATTCAGATACTCCTAAATAAGGCATTATGTTATAAAACACTGTAGGAGTTCATAATCACTACATAGAATAATCTTCAGTGCCTTTATAAGAAGTCCTAGGTCAAGGTTCAAAAATATATGAACAAGGATATCACACCCATTTTTACACATGGTTTTATGATTTATCGAATTAAATCATTAAAATCCTCTGATGTAAATCGCAAATCTAGTCTAGTCCCACCAAATCTAATATACATTTTCCCTCTTCGCAATATTTCAACAGTCAAACAGTATTCAAACAAGTCAAAGTCAAACATTCGGATAACATTAAATGACAAAAGCACCAGAGAAAGTGTTGTTCATTGGAATGGACGCTGCTAAACAGATTAAACATTGACAACATATTGTGCAAGATAGGAAATATGTTCCGCTGATAGGTTATGAATGTTTATACCTCTGGGTGAGAGGGCTTAGGTGTGTCTGAGAGATTAGTTTATAGGACTGACATAACAAACTGATTCAGAAAGGACAAGTATCTAAAAGATCTTCATTGAGGATTCATCATTTATATCTTCGTTGATTAATTTTAGTCAGTTATTCTCTGCTAAATAAAATCTGTTTAAAAAAAAACCTTCACAGTTGATCAAAATGGTTCCGATTACAAAGACACTGGTCTTTCTCTGCATGCTGATTGGATGGTCACAGGCTTTTTCGCATCATGATGCCTTCAGAGAAAATGATGCAATCCAAGATGCTGACAAAATAGAGAGAGAAAGACGAGATCTGGCTGTAAGTGTCCTCGTATGTCTGTGCTGTGTATGCTGATTTCCTATTTCAAACATCTGAAAAATATGAATCATTGTCAAGCTGTACTGTAAACTGTGCATTTTTACTGTTTCAAGCTACAAGCATAAAGTTACTATAGCCTTTAATTAAAAGAAATACAATTTATTTTCTTTGTAGGTCAATGATTTTACTCCACCAGTGTGTCGTGTCTTCAATATGAGTGCGATTTGTCGTTCATATGAATATATGGATGAATTCAAAGTGACTTATATCATGACAGATGGAGATGGCTCAGGAATCGATCACATCAAAGTTTTTGCCAGTGGCCTCCAGTGTTTAAGCAAGACAACACAAGCTTATGGTCTAGAAGAAGATGGCTACAAAGCGACCTATCTGTATTATTCCAGCAACTGCTGCTATGAAGATGTGGAGGTTCTTGTGGTGGACAAGGCAGGACACACAAGCAAGTGTCCCGTTGCTCTAAAACGTAATACGACGACATTCAAGCCAATGACTGTCAAGACTGTCAAACCCACATCCAGTAGCTCCATCACAACCATCTCTCTTTGGTCAAGTTTAATACTGATGGCACTTAAATCTATGCTTCTCTAAGATGGATGTGCACTTTATGTACACTCACTTCCCATGTAATTTAAAATGTAGGCTACAATAAAAATGTGCAATAATTAATAATTGGAATATATTTAAAGCATTTGATGTCAGTATCAAGTCAGTGCTTTGGTGGGGTAGACTGAGTACATTTGGGACATGTGTACAGTTGAAACACCTTAAATAACTTGCGTGCAAAGGAACCCTGAGCCGTGATTTTTGCACCACACATGCGTATTAGCATTCTCTCTGATCATGGAAAATTTGAAAGGTGTGTGTCTTTCCACTCCAAAGATATCGGCAAAAGTTTTTTTTACAAGGTAAGATTTTCATTTCACCATGTCCCTTCCACAATGAATAGCTTATTATCCTTTTATGACTGTTAAACTTCACATATATCATTGCAAACGTTACTCTGTGCTCTAAAAATAGACATATTTTATGATATTGTGTCATGGAAGGTCTTTGCATAATCTAGAGAAACATGCGAGTATGTCAGTGGGGTACGGTTGAGACACAGTGTATCAACTGTACCCAGACAGGTGTCCTATTGCGTCACATGCTGTTTAGCTGTACAGTGTTATGATAATAGGTTAAAAGTCACATTTACACACATGCAACGCAAATTATGTTTAAAAAATGATATTTGTAATATTTCAACTGTCTATTATTAATGGACATATTCTCTAACATGAATGTTAAAAGGATAACATAGCATTTTGTGAAATATACAAGACTGTAAAGTGGGTACAGTTGACACAACCTTTATATCCTATGTATGCAGTAACAGTTCCATCAGAAAATAAAATTTTCTAACATGAATGTTAAAAGGATAACATAGCATTTTGTGAAATATACAAGGTGGTAAAGTGGGTACAGTTGACACACCCTTTATATCCAATGTATGCAGTAACAGTTCAATCAGAAAATAAAATGCATATTCAGAGGCTGTGTGTGTGTACTGGTATTACCTACATTATGGGGACCAAATGTCCCCACAAGTATAATACCAGTAAATTCTAACCTTATGGGAAAATTTTGTTAGGTCCCTATGAGGAAACAAGCTTTTAAAACATACAGAATGATTAAAAATGTAAAAATACAGAAAGTTTTGAGTAATGGGGATAGGTTTAGGGGTAGGTTTATAGAATATACAGGTATGTAGAGGAATAAAATATACTGTGTCTGTACAGTATAAAAACCACTATGCTTATGGAATGTCCCTATAATGTTAATACCTGTATGTGTATGTGTGTGTGTGTGTGTGTGTGTGTGTGTGCTGGTATATATGGTTTATGAGGTCAGAAATGTGTATAATGACATGGGTATTACAACATAAACATGGTTTATGAGGACACTTCCTGTGTCCCCGTAAAACAACAGGCTTGAAAAACATACAAAATGGTGTTTTATGAAATTAAAAAATTGCCAGTAGGTTTAGGTGTAGGGCAATAGAAAATACAGTTTGTACAGTATAAAAGCCATAATGCAAGTATGTGTGTGTTAGGCAATGTAGTCAGTGAGTGGACTTTATTTTTGTTTCTGTTTTTGTTGTTTTCCATGAAAATTTACATTGTTATTTTTACATTTGTACGGTTTGCCATATCTTTTCAAGTGTTAAATATTTTTGTTCCTTTATTGTTTAACTTAATCTGAATTATATAAAGCGAATAAATAAATCTGAATTGTTTAAAAAAAAATTGCACAACTGTAAT